AATAAGGAAATTATAATTCCAGTGTAATAGAAGGTGACGTGTGATCCAAGTTTGTTGAATGAATGAATGAAAGGGCCTTCACCTTCTGGGAATTCAGGAAAGTAGACAGGGAAGCAAAGGAGGCCATCCTGGTTTCCCTCTTGTCTCCATCACTGCTGGTGATCTTAGGTAATTCCCCTCCTCTCTGAGCCTCACACCGTTGGTGGGAACGTAAACAGGGCCTGACTTTTGAGAAGACAATTTGGCAGCATTTACTCAAATTTAAAATGAACATCCCTCCCAGCAGATATTCCCACTTTCAGCAGTGCCCAAAGAGGCTGGGATAAGGATGTTCATGACAGCATCCATTCATTCAACAAATATTTATTGAGCTCGGCTAGGTGCTGGGGAACCAGCAGTGAATGAAGCAGGTGAGGTTTCCTCTTTCCTAGAGCCAACATTCTAAGGCGAGAGACAGCCACAAGCAAGTAGCCAAATAAATAAGGTAGCTGCAAACAGCAGGAGGCTCTGAAGACTGTGCAGTGGGGAGAGGGAAGGGCTTTTGAGCTGAGGCCTGAAGAACCAGAAGGAGCCAGCCTTGAGAAAGTGTGGGGGTGATTCTGGCAGAGCCCAGCAAGGGCAAAGCCTGAGTTGGGGATGCTTCAGGATGCTTCAGATGCCTTGGAGCCCACACTGGCTTTCACCGTGTTAGGTGGGAGCCACGGAAAGGTTTGGGCAGAGGAGGGACCTAGCTAGACTTGGGGAGCTGCAAGGTGGCCGAGGGAGGCAAGAGAGGAGGCAGAGACCCCGGGGGAGGTTATGGTAACGTCCAGGCAGGAGGTGCCGGTAGCAGTCGGAGGAGGAGAGTAGTTGGATTTTGGATACATCTTTTCAAACTTTAAAGTATAAGGGGGGTAGGGGATACAGCTCAGTGGCAGAGCATATGCTTTTTATTATAACTAGCAAAAAGTATAGGGAAGGGGGACAAGTCTTGAGCTCAATGAATTTTCACAAGGTCAACATATCCTTATCATAAGTGCTCAGATAAAGAAACATAGACCTCTTGGTCACCTTTAAAGGACAGAGCCAACAGAATCTACTGTAGGTTGAATGTGGAGAAAAGGAGAGAATGAGGCATCCGAGAGGACCCCATTGTTTTGACCTGAGCACCTGAACATAGACGTGCTCTTTCCTGAGGTGGGGAAGTCTGCGGGGCAGGGGGCAGGGAAGAGGGAATCTAGATCTGAGCATTGGATATTTTGAATTTGAGATGCTTACTAATATCCAGTGGAAAATGTCAAGTGGGAAGTTGAATACGTGGGTCTGGGGTTCAGGGGAATGTCCTAGGCTGGAAATAATCTCCTTACAGAGTGGTTCTGCCCTGACTCGGACACACAAGATTGTTCTTTGTAGGCCACAAAGGTTGTACCCATTCGAGAAGCTGTTTTGACAAATGAATGAATTGGCAGGCGAAGACGGGGCCTTAGTGCTGACCTCTGATTTCTTTTGCAAGCCATCCTCTGCCTGCTGACCCTGCTGCTGCCACTGCTCAGTCGGGGGGCCCCCATGTCCCCAGCTGAGCGCATCACTCAAGCCTACAACCTGGCGCTTTCCATGCAGGAGAATATGTCAACACTGCTGCAGACTTACGTGAGTGACATGCGCAGGGGATGAGGGGAGAGGGCGCTGCCCTTCTGGCCCAGCCCTGGGTAGGGGAAGCAGAGAAAGGCCAGAAGGCTCCTCCGTGGGTCCAGGTACAGGGGCTCTGCCAACTAGAGACACACCCACAAGAACGCTGTCACTGATGGCTGGGTGACCTTGGGCAAGTCATTCCTTCTCTCCGGACTCAGCTTCCTCTTCTGCCAAATAGGATGGTGAGCCTGCCTTGGCTGACCTCTCAGGACTAGTAGAAGACTCAAAGGAAGCACACAGAGGGAAGGGCTTGATGGGGTTATGGTTCTTTCCACAACCATCTCTGTGCTTTCTTGAGTCCTATGCCATGCTGGGAACTCTATCCTCATTATTCTACTGATTCTTCAAATAGTTCTGTGAGGTGGAATTATCACCCATTTTATAGATAAGGAAACTGAGTTTTAGAGAAGGTGAATAATTTGCCTGAGATCACAAAACTCTAGAAGTTCAAACTGGCAGTCTGCTGGCTGGGTCTGACCCACAGGTGTTTTCTGTTTGGGCCATGCAGTGCTTGTTCAAGTTTTGAGTATGAATGTCTGTCAAAAAACAGGCATGGGGATCTTGTTGGCCTCCAGCCCCTCTCCGTGTTTGTCCTACCTTCTTCCCAAGTGACCTGATCTACCTGGTCCCTGGAGGCCCCAGTTCGTGACTCTTCTACTGTACTATATTCTACGTCCATGTGAAGTTACTTAATCTAGTTTCTAGTCCATATATGCCACCAGTCCCTGGGTTTCTTTGGGCACCCTGAGCCTCAGTTTCCCCACTTGTAAGATGGGGTGGAGGACTAGGTGATCTGTCAGTTAGGGTTTTATCAGTGTACACTAAAATTCTGTGCATCTAGGTTTGTGGAGGTGAGAACTTGAATGGAGAAGTCACTCAACTAAACTCAATAATACTAAGAATTATTTATTAATGATTATAATAAAGTGAACAGGGGAAGGGTATAGCTCAAGTGGGAGAGTGTGTGCTTAGCATGCACAAGGTCCTGGGTTTGATCCCCGGTACCTCCTCTAATAATAAATAAATAAAATAAATTACCTCCCCCCAATTTTTTTTAAATAATAAAATGAACAAACACAAACCACTAAATGCCATAAATAAGAAGGAAACAGGGATGTAAATTGTCAAGAATATATTGTCAATAATGTATTTAGATTGAAAATGTTGTCCTGAGTAATATAATCATAATGTTCATGATATAAATACAAATATATCATTAGTGAATGGTATTAATGCCCTTATTGTATGTCAGGTGCTCTGCTAAGTGCTTTATATAAATTACTTCTTACCATCTTCACTGTAACAGTGCCATGTGGGAATTACTGAAGCTGCGATTCAAAGTTGCACAACTCGTATGCAGAAGAAGCCGAGTTGGAACCTAACAGAGCCCAGGCTCTGTGCTAGAACATTCCACCAACTCCCTGAGAGGCAGGGAGTAGCAACTGGGAAGGTGCCAGTCTCATGGGAAACAGTCAGGGGAGCCCCAGGACAGCCTTTCAGTCCCCTCACTCCTATCTGTCTCTGTCCCTCATGCAGCTCCAGGCTCAAGGCAGCCCCTTTAGTGACCCTGGCTTCTCAGCCCCAGAGCTCCAGCTCAGCAGTCTGCCTCCTGCCGACATCTCCTTCAAGACCTGGAATGCCCTGGATGATGGGGAGCGTCTGAGCCGTGTCCAAGGGGCCTTCCTGGCCTTGAGCCAGCACCTCCAGCTCGTGGGGGACGACCAAAGAGACCTGAACCCTGACAATCCCATCCTGCTGGCTCAGCTCAGGGATGCAAGGCTTAGGGCCCAAGGCATGCTGGGCAACGTGGCTGCCATCATGACTGCCCTGGGTCTGCCCAACCCCCGAGCAGAGGATACTGTTGGACTTGTTCCCTTTGGGGCCTCGGCTTTCGAGCAGAAATGTCGAGGCTACATAGTAATCCGGGAATATGGCCAGTGGACAGACCGAGCTGTGAGAGACTTGGCTCTGTTCAAGGCCAAATACCCTTTATAAAGGAGGTGGACTTCGGGTCAGAGGCTGCAACACTTCCCCTTTCACAATGGTCTCTTTTCTGCCTTGCTTTTTGGGTAGTAAGGAGACACATCTCGTTTAGCAGACAGGGCTTCTGTGATATGGATTTGGGAACATCTCCCGGGAACTAGGCCTCAAGTCCCTATTGCCTGGGCCTTCCTGCCTAGGTCCTATGGCCTCCCTTCCAGATCTGGGTGGCATTCTGTGGATATCATCTCGTGGATTACCAGTCCAGTGGCACTGGTTATCCACTTCCTGGGTGGAAATAACTATCTCTTTGAAGAGGCTCCACCTCCCACTCTACAGGGAGAGTAAAGTTGGTCTCCTCCCTGGGCTCTCCCCGAGATCTTCCCCTTCATGTAACTTTGGGGAAGTCCAGGGGCTGTCTCTCCTGTCTACCTCACTTGCTATATGAAGATATGGGCTTTCTAAGCAAACAGGCCTCCCTTCTTGTGGAAGTTCATTTCCTCCCCTAGTCTACCTCTCTGACTGTGGCCACTGTTCCAACTTCCCAACTTAAGGTGTTTCACTTCCTAATCAATGGATGTCAAATTCTTGAAAAACTAAGGACTCATGTCACATGTTTCCTGCTGGGACCCATCCACTTCTGTTCTGCGCTGACAGATTGCTTCCCTGGCCTGGGGCTCTCACGAACCTCCTATCTGTACTGTGGCTTTTGGATATGTCTGGGGGACCAAGTTGTACCCCAAGGATCCTATTCTCCTTAAACGTGTCTCCCCATTTTCAACAACTATATACTGGTAACTTTTAATTTTTAAAAATTTTATTTACAAAAATTAACTTATTCTCAGAAATAAAACTCTTTAAGAAGTTGACTTTTTCTCTCCGCAGACCTGACTTGAGGGGAAGGGAAGGTGCAGGGTTAGGGCAGAGGGAGGGGAAGGAGAAGGACTTCAAAGGGATGGAGGCAGGGCCCAAGGGATGGGATGGGGAGGGGGAGAGCAGCAGGTGGAGTGATGCTGGGGGAAGATGGCTGAAATTTGTCTGGAGTAGCCCTCCCACCACAGGGCAAGCAGGCATGTCCCTGGCCAAGAAAGGACAGACAGGGATAGAAGGAAACAGAGTGACAGGTGCCCCCTCCTTGAGATGAGAAGAGATGGGGAGAGGGGAGACAAAGAGATTCACAAAGAGGCAGGCCCAAGCGATGGAGAAAAAGGGAGGAAGCAAGGGGACGATGGACATAGTAAGTCACAAGCAGACAAGCAGGTCCCAGAGAGAAAAAGAAATCAAGAGCGTACAAAGCAAACAGAGATGGAGACAGTCTGAGAACACAGACGAAGAGGCAAGGCAGAGAGATGGAGAAGGCCGAGGAGCACTCAGGCCGGGCCCCCGGGCGCCAGCTGGCCCAGGTCGGCCTCCGTGCGGCTCACCCACTCGAGGTAGAGGCTGCACACG